GTCAAAGCCCACTCAAAACATTTGTTCAACTAACAATAAGTGATCGATAAAATTTCAACATGAAACCAATCCAATAATGGCTCTTTGAACAAAAATTCATCCAAAATTCTTTTTGTTTGTATGGTCGAGAATATTTTCAGCAATAGCAAAACAGCGAAATCAAATTCTTCGTAGTGATGCGAGATTTTAAGTTTGTGTTTCAGAATGAACGAAATGAAGCACTCAGATGAAATGATTACCAACTGCAATAACTCCATCTTGCAAATTTGCCGTCGCTTCAATTCTATTCGCCAACTTCACTTCCCAGTTGACGTGTCCATCATCGATGCGAATTGATGCAAAACGTCCCGAATGAGAGCCGATGAAAACATTTCTTAAAATTTCCTCAAATTCAAATAAAACTCTTCTCATCCAATTAGCCAATAACAGTGCGGAAAGATCAATTAAACGGATTTCGAAAACTCATTCACTTAAGATACTGATCTGAGAATGGCGTAAAACCCAAGCAGTATCCGCAAAAAAACATTTTATTTGACTATCAGTTCAAAATACTGACTAAATAATTTCAGTGTAAAAGTTTGTTTTGTCAAGACTGATTCAGCAATTAAATATCGAGTGCTTTACACGAACCGATTATGTATGATTGGTGTGGCATCAATGCATGCACCTGAATCCCATTCCCACACTAAAGACGTTTCGTATTGATCGCAACGTGGACTTATTCGAATAATTTCTTTCGATTCAAGTTTCATTTTCGCCGTCGAATCGAATGTCACGTTATCAGCTTGAAGAAGTTGTAGTAAGTCGCTGACGGTCGCCGTTTCAGAAAGTAAGAATTGCAGCAATTCGAAATCTTCTTTCTCAATCAAATGCTCGAATTTGAACATCAATTCAGTGGCGCATAAAGACGTCATACCCAAAGAATGTAAACTGTCGAATTTGTTCTTGTCGACATCGATACCTGAAAAAAGATGCGCAATTTTTCTCGATATGACACCAGTTTTATCAAACTCCAACTCTTTGCCAAGATTTCTTTTCATTTGTGCTATGAATCTTTTGAAAAATTCTCCATATCGCTCCATGTTCATAGCACTTCATCGAACCAAATTTCACGCTGTCTGAAAAAAAGAGAACTGAGACAGCATATTCGGAGTGATAATAAAATACCGTATTCAGCCAGAACAGCTGTAACGTTTTCACGTTTCACTGAACAGTTACGTTCCTTAAATATTTCCAGAAGTCCATCACGATCAATCTTCCCTAAAATTTTGAATTGATAAAACATGCTCATGAGGCAATCCATCAGATCATGCTGATTCAACATCGCTGAATGCATTCCATTTCAAATCTTTTTTTAAACGAAAATGTTCGATAGAAGTGAAAACTGGTAGTATCTGTTGAAAAGGAATCACTTGTAAATGACTAATTATCTGCTGAGAAGGAACAACTTGTTAATGAAAATGATATTGTGATAGAATCAACCAATTGTATAAGTCGATGAATAACCAAAAGCAAGAGTGAATATTTTCAACTCAGAATTATCAGCACTACGATTCAGAATTAGATTGTTACCGTGTTCATTCAATGGCCATTCATTGATAGCAAAAACGACACTCGGAAATAACCACTTTGAGGTGATATGCTTTTGTAAGTATGCATCAATATCGTTCAACTGTCCTCTCATTTTAACAAACAATATAATCGCTTGTTTGCGCCAATGAATCGCTAATGCCGAATCGACTTCTCCTAAGTGTTGCACTTCACTCGTGATTTCCATCAAATTCACTCGAATACCATTCAATTTGACCTGAACGCAATGAATGAATTAATGGAATCGTTACACTCCGAACGTACACATCGAAAATCTTTCATAAGCATTCACTCGTCAGCAACAACCTGATCGTCGAGACGTCCTCTCCACACTATCCTACCATCCTCTAAACGCTCCACCAAATCGCCTGTTGCTACCCAATCGTCGTCCGTAATCACTCCGTTCACGTAACACTTTCTCGGACCACCAATTAAAAGTTCGCCTTCATCACTAATGTTGAACGTTGTATCCAATAATGGTTCACCGATATCCACTTCTTCTTTCCTACAGTCGAATCAAATTTCTCAGTTTGATTCGATCGATGCCCAACAAAAGCTGATTTTTCACGTTCAGTGAACAAATCTGAAGTTATTTTCAAAAGGCTTCTGATATGTCGAAGAGTTTCTATTCGTTGGTATATCAGAAACCCCGTAGAAATTCAAATGGATCAAATCAGGTTGAAATTATCACAACAGAGGAACAAAACTACGTCTACTAATGAAAGGCTTGACGTTTCACACGCAGATTTTAATGTGAATTTTAGACGATTATACGAAGTCGACGATATGTTCAGACGGGATCAGTCAAGATGAAAACAACAAAAATTAAGAAACATTACGTCTGATTCCATTGCGTGCATGACGCCCAGCATGACACTTCAGTGATACCATAAACATTAAAAATACGAATACGATTTCTTTCACTCACAAAATCACACAAAAACTCTGATGGAAAAGCTTCACCACCGAGCAGAAGAATACGAATTGAGGATGAATTCTCATCGAACATTTTCATCAGATATGATCTCGGTATTAATTTGAGTAATGATGGCGTCATCTGCAAACGAATTTTAAATTGGACCAGATGATTGTCAGCTAGGTGAATAGCCACTGTAGTGAAAGGTGACTGATCGGA